TATATCTCCCAAGGAAATTGAAGCAGTCATTAACAGTCTCCCCTCCAAAAAAAGCCCTGGACCAGATGGCTTCAGCGCAGAATTCTACAAGACCTTCAAAGAAGTACTAACACCAATTCTCCTCAAACTATTCCATAAAATAGAAACAGAAGGAACACTACCAAACTCATTCTATGAAGCCACAGTCACTTTGATACCTAAACCACACAAAGATCCAACAAAAAAAGAGAACTTCAGACCTATCTCTCTTATGAACATTGATGCAAAAATACTCAATAAAATACTTGCAAACCGAATCCAAGAACACATCAAAGATATCATCCACCATGACCAAGTAGGCTTCATCCCAGGAATGCAAGGGTGGTTCAACATATGGAAATCCATCAATGTAATCCACCACATAAACAAAATGAAGGAGAAAAACCACATGATCATCTCCTTAGATGCTGAAAAAGCATTTGACAAAGTCCAACACCCATTTATGTTTAAAGTCTTGGAGAGATCAGGGATACAAGGCACATACCTAAAGATAGTAAAGGCAATATACAGCAAGCCTATAGCCAACATCAAACTCAATGGAGAGAAACTTAAAGCAATCCCACTGAAATCAGGGACAAGACAAGGCTGCCCACTCTCTCCATATCTCTTTAACATTGTACTTGAAGTCCTAGCCAGAGCAATAAGACAACTAAAGGAGATCAAGGGGATACAAATCGGAAAGGAAGAGGTCAAAGTGTCACTATTTGCAGATGATATGATAGTATACATGAGCGAACCCAAAGATTCAACCAGAGAACTTCTTCAGCTGATAAACACCTTCAGCAAAGTGGCAGGATACAAAATCAACTCAAAAAAATCAGAAGCCCTCTTGTATACCAAAGACAAAAAGGCCGAGAAAGAAATTAGGGAAACAACACCCTTCACAATAGCCACTAATAACATAAAGTACCTTGGTGTGACTCTAACCAAGCAAGTGAAAGACCTGTTTGAGAAAAACTTCAAGTCTTTGAAGAAAGAAATTGAAGAAGATCTCAGAAGATGGAAAGATCTCCCGTGCTCATGGATTGGTAGGATTAACATTGTGAAAATGGCCATCCTGCCAAAAGCAATTTACAGATTCAATGCAATTCCCATCAAAATACCAACTCAATTCTTTACAGACCTTGAAAAAAAGATTCTCAGCTTCATATGGAGAAACAAAAAACCCAGAATCTCCAAAACAATCCTGTACAACAACAGATCATCTGGAGGTATCTCCATTCCCGATCTCAAGCTGTACTACAGGGCAACAGTAATAAAAACTGCATGGTATTGGCATAGAAACAGAAAGGAGGATCAATGGAATCGCATAGAAGACCCAGAAATAAACCCACACACCTATGAATACTCAATATTTGACAAAGAAGCCAAATCCATTCAATGGAAAAAAGACAGCATCTTCAACAAATGGTGCTGGACCAACTGGATGTCTACATGCAGAAAAATGAAAATAGACCCATATTTATCACCCTGCACAAAACTAAAGTCCAAGTGGATCAAGGACCTCAACATAAAACCAGATACTCTAAATCAGCTGGAAAAAAAAGTGGGAAACAGCCTAGAACTCATTGGCACAGGAGACAACTTCCTGAACAGAACATCAACAGCACAGGCTCTAAGAGCAACAATCAATAAATGGGACCTCATGAAACTGAAAAGCTTCTGTAAAGCAAAAGACACTGTCATCAAAACAAATAGACAGCCTACAGATTGGGAAAGAATCTTCACCAACCCTTTATCTGACAGAGGGCTAATATCAAGTATATATAAAGAACTAAAGAAGCAGAAAAGCAACAAACCAAGTAATCCACTTAAAAAATGGGGAACAGAGCTAAACAGAGAATTCTCGAAAGAGGAACATCGAATGGCAGAGAAACACTTAAAGAAATGCTCAACCTCATTAGCCATTAGGGAAATGCAAATCAAAACGACCCTGAGATTTCACCTTACACCCATCAGAATGGCCAAGATGAAAAACTCAAGTGATAGCACATGCTGGAGAGGTTGTGGAGAAAAGGGAACCCTCCTCCATTGCTGGTGGGAATGTAAACTGGTTCAACCACTCTGGAAGTCAATCTGGCGCTTTCTCAGACAACTAGGAGTAGTGCTACCTCAAGACCCAGCTATACCACTCCTAGGTATATACCCAAAATTTGCTCAAGTACACAACAAGGACATTTGTTCAACCATGTTCGTAGCAGCTTTATTTGTAATAGCCAGAACTTGGAAACAACCCAGATGTCCATCAACGGAGGAATGGATACAGAAATTGTGGTATTTTTACACAATGGAATACTACTCAGCAATCAAAAAGGAGGAAATCATGAAATTTGCAGGCAAGTGGTGGGATCTAGAAAAGATCATTCTGAGTGAAGTATCCCAGAAGGAGAAAGACAAACTTGGTATATACTCGCTTATATAGACCTACAAGATATGATAAACATAATGAAATCTACACACCTAAAGAAGATAATCAAGAAAGTGGACACAGGCGAAGGTGATTAATCCTCATTTAGAAAGACAAATGGGATGTGCCTTGAACTTATGACAGGAGTCTACCACAAAAGGCATCTGAAAGACTCTACCTAGCAGTGTTTCAAAGCAGACACTAAGACTCATAACCAAACCCTCAGCAGAGTGCAGGGAATCATATGAAAGAAGGGAAGTTAGTATGATATGGAAAGGATAGGAGCTCTACAAGGACCAAATATATCTGGGCACAGGGTCTTTTCTGAGACTGAAACTCAACCAAGGACCATCTATGGATATAACCTAGAACTTCTGCTCGGATGTGGCCTGTGGTAGCTCAGTAACCAAGTAGTTTTCCAAAGTAAGGGGAACACGGACTATTTCTAACAGGATCTCAAGGGCAGGCTGTTTGACACCTCCCCCCAGGGGAGGAGCAGTCTGTTAGGCCACAGAGGAGGACTTTGCAGCCAGCCCTGAAGATACCTGATAAAACAGGGACAGATGAAAGGGGAGGAGGTCCTCCCCTATCAGGGGACTTGGAAAGGGGCAGGGAGGAGACCAGGGAGGGAGTGTGGGGTTGGGGAGGGAATGAGGGAGCGGGATACAGCTGGGACACAGAGTTAACAAAATGTAACTAAAAAGAAAAAAAAATAAAATTAAATTAAAAAAAAAGAAAAAAAAGTTATAGTTTTACTATAAGCATAATTTTCAAACCCCAAGAGGCCAAACTATAAAAAGAAAATCAAGAAAAAACATTAAAAAAGGGTGAAGGACATAGAGAAATTAAAATGGTGGAGAATAATAAAGTATTTAAGTTTTAGAAGAATGTTCTATGTTCTGAGACTATCGCTTCAAGAACAAAAAAGAAATAAACTTTATCACATAAGGAAATGCTGAAAGTATGTATTTTGAATTATCTGCACTATACAAATGGCTATCAAAAAATTGTTGCAGCCTTCAGCTTTCAGTATATCTGGAAGTAGTAACTATCAGTAAATTTTCCAAGAAGCGTCTCTTTGTAAATGTTCACAGGCTGTTAGAGAATTCTAAGCCCAAAGGAGTGTGGACTCAATTTGCAAGTTTTGAACTAAATGACACACTGAGGTCTTTTTCCTTCTAAGTCTTAGTAAAGTACAAAAACAGCAAAGCTTAGATTTTTGGTAATCCTTACACAGCCAGAACGTTCTTGCATGCTGAATACACAGGCAAGGACAAAAAGAATGAATGCTCTTGACAGAATTCCTCCAACTGTGATGCTGTGGAGGACACTAGAATTTCCACTCAACTGTGAGGCACGCACACACTTTTTCAAACATATGTCATATCAAAACCTTTCCAGAATGTAATTTGTTCATGGAAGCTCCTAAAGATAATATTATGAAATAAAACAAATTGGGAATATTTTTATTTAAAAAACTGTTGCAGTATAAAATAGAAAACCAATGGGATATTTTGTGAAAATCAGTAGAAATAATTATTTTAAAGGAACTGAATCTATGCCATAATACTGTTTAAAGACATCAGAGAGACTGCTGATGTACAATACTGGACATTTGCCACAGTTGAAATCAATCAAGGAAAGAAAAGAGAGCATTCCTATAGAGGAATATCTCTTTTTCTCTGCCCTGAAGATAGACATATCTGGTTCAGCAAAGCTGGTGAGAGTGTTCTCCAATTTATGTTACTGGCTAATACTTAACTTTATACTACACTTTTTTGTTTAATTACTGTTTGTATAACCTAGACCTGGTATGAAGAACATATCATTTTGGTGATCTAAAATTTCTTAATAATAAACACCTTTGTTACTCTAGCACAATTTCTACAGTAATATGTTAGAATATTGACTCTAAATGTGTTTTATAACCATTAGTGTTTACAAAAGTCAAAAACATGGTGATTCTTTCAGCTACATTTCATCTTGTTCTTAGGAAGAAATGCTCTGAATTCTACATAATAGTTAAACTGATGATCGGCACTAAATCCAATCGTGTAAAAAACAATATTAAAATTAGAAGAATAGAAAATTATTTAATAGATATGGCTGTAACTCAGTGTGTAGTATGTTTGAGGTCATATGAGGTCATGAACTCCATCCTTAGCACCATACACACAGTTAGTCTCACACACAAAATCAAGGCTATAAAGGCGATTTTTAAGCAGAAGTTACATGAAAAGATATCCTTATGTCTAGGAGATTCACATAAATATATGGAAAAGAAGCCAAGACTATATAGCTGGGCTTTAAAATAAGGTGTGAGAGTGCACACTGAGAGAAAGAGAAAGAATAAAGGGCATAGTTAAATATGTAAAATGTCATCAATCAGGTAAACATGAAGATCAAATGTTAATTCTTGGTAATATTTTGCTTAAAATTTGTTTATATTAATTTTCTATTATTAGAATTATTTATGATTAGACAAGTTTATTTTACAATATAAGCAATAGTGGAAAAAACACATAAATCTATATATAAGGAATAAGAACCAGGAGAAAACAATTTAATTATGGTAAGAATATTTGGATTGAAATTGTATGTTAGTGGATAATTTAACAAAAATATTTTATCTTTTTTGGCACTGTAGCTAATGTGGAACAATCTTGCTTCATATTGTTTTCTACATATCACACTGTAAATACATTTATGAGCATGGAATACACATATTGTTTCTACATATCACTGCCTAAATTCTCACTCTCTCTCCTCTACCCACTTCTCATGTCTCCATATTTCATTATTCTACAAACTGTCTCTCTCCTAGTCATGAACACAGAATGTCATTTTTGGTTTTATATTCACATACATTGGCACAGCTTATGACGTCCTCAAAGAATATCTTCAGTGGAAGAGGTTTCCTGTTTCCCTTATTGGCATCGTTAATGGATCTGCTCAAAAATGCAATAAAAAAACACAATACAGTAAAATGAATCTGTAAGTAGAGTATTACAAACTAATCATTGTCAATATTTTATCAATATCATCTTAGCTTTAAACACAACTTCAGGACTATGCATTATTAGAATTGGGAATATTGAAAAATGTTTCAGAAAGAAAGACATGGTCAGATAATAGCACATTGATCTAGCAAGCACAGCCAGTCTTCAAAGTTTTTGTCTGCAAGGGAAGGGCAGAAACCTCCTTGACTTCAAAGCAGAAAGCAGATGATTTGAGCATAAATGGGAGAGTAACATCTACTGAGTGGAAATTAAAATAAGTCTAGAGAAGACTGCTTCCTCCAATAGAAAGAGGAGATGATGAAGAGCATAGCATACAGAACTTCCTCATAATTAAGCAAAATATGCATTTGAACAAGAAAATTTAAAGCAGTAGCTAGGAAACGTAATCAACAGCACATTTGAAAATAGTCTATCAAATACATTTTTATAAAAGAAATAGAGCACAGACTACCATTCCTCTATCAATGAGGAATTAAAATGAGTAAAATACCTTTGGAGAAAACAGTACCACTGCTCTTTCTAGTCCATGAAACTGTAATTTAAAAAGTGAAAAAATTAAGACTCTTGAAAATTGCTAAGGCATTTAATATTATTCCTCATTAAAAATAATATAAAGCCAATTTTTATCTGTAAGCATGTAGGTATAGCTGGCATTCTTTACATGACTGGGCTATTGTTAGAACTGTTATTTCACCGGAAAACATACATGATAGGAATTAAACAACAGTGCTGGTGCTGGTTAGGAATGTCTTGTTCACATACAAAGGGATTATTATTTCATTATTCACACTAATCCAAACATAAAAAAATGTGACCTTTGGTTTGAACACACACTTAAGCAGGAAAAACACCTTTATGATAAAAATTGTTCATTATTTTCTCATATGAATTATAGAATTGACATGAAAGACATTAGTTCCCAGAAAACTAGTTCTTTATCTGTGTGAAACATAAGATTAATTCCTCTGGTGCTAATTAATAATAAGCCCACCTCTATTTAATTGTAGCATGTAATACTCAAATATAAAATGGTTTAAGATTAATGTAGCATACTAAGATGTCATAAAGTGAAAATTATTATGTTGAATAAGTTAGACCTCAGTTAGATTGGATATATTCACAGGGTCTTATCATCATCATTTTGTTGATGAACACTTTTTATCCACAGTACAACCCTTACCCATTTTGTTATTCTTTTTAAAATATTTAATTGATTTATTTTATTTATTATAAATTATTCACTTTGTATCCTTGCTGTAATCCCCTCCCTTATCTCCTCCCAATCATGCCCTCCCTCCCCCTTCACCTCCCCTGCACCTCCCACAGTCCACTGATGGAGAAGGAACTCCTACCCTTCCATCTGACCCTAGCCTATCAGGTCTCATCACAACCGGCTGCATTGTCTTCCTCTGTGGCCTGGTAAAGCTGTTCCCTCCTCAGGGGGAGGTAATCAAAGAGCCAGCCACTGAGTTCATGTCATAAACAGCCCCTGTTCCACTTACTAGGAACCCACTTGGACACTGAGCAGCCGTGGGCTACATCTGTGCAGGGGTTCTAGGTTATCTGCATGTATGTTCCTTCCTTTGGAGAATAGTCTCAGAAAAGATACCTGGGCCCAGATTTTTTGGTTCTGTTGCTCTCCTTGTGGAGCTCCTGTCCCCTCCAGGTCTTTCAATCTCCCCCTTCTTTCATAAGGTTCCATGCACTTTGCCCAAAGTTTGGCTATGAGTCTCAGCATCTCCTTCACAAGATCCAGCTATACAACTCCTAGGCATATGTCCAAAATATCCTCAAATATACAAGGAAATTTGCTCAACCATGTTCATAGCAGCTTTACTCATAATAGACAGGATCTGCAAAGAACCAAGAGTCCCTCAAAAGAGGAATAGATACAGAAATTGTGGTTGAAATCAGGGACAAGGCAAGGCTGCCCACTGTCTCCATATCTCTTCAACATAGTACTTGAAGTCCTAGCTAGAGCAATAAGACAAGTAAGGAAGATCAAGGGAACACAAATTGCAAAGGAAGAAGTCAAAGTTTCACTTTTCGCAGATGACATGATAGTATACCTAAGTGACCCCAAAAACTCAACCAGAGAATTCGTTCAGCTGATAAACACCTTCAGCAAAGTAGCTGGATACAAAATTAACTCAAAAAAATCAGAAGCCCTCATGTATACCCAAGACAAAAGGGCCGAGAAAGAAATCAGGGAAACAACAGCCTTCATAATAGCCACTAATAACATAAAATACCTTGGGGTGACTCTAACCAAGCAGGTGAAAGACCTGTTTGAAAAAAAACTTCAAGTCTCTGAAGAAAGAAATTGAAGAAGATATCAGAAGATGGAAAGATCTCCCGTGCTCATGGATTGGTAGGATTAACATTGTGAAAATGGCCATCCTGCCAAAAGCAATCTACAGATTCAATGCAATTCCCATCAAAATACCAAAACAATTCTTTACAGACCTTGAAAGAAAAATTCTCAACTTCATATGGAGAAACAAAAACCCAGAAATTCCAAAACAATCCTGTACAACAACAGATCCTCTGGCAGTCTCTCCATTCCTGATCTCAAGTTGTACTACAGAGCAATAATAATAAAAACTGCTTGGTACTGGCATAGAAACAGAAAGGTGGAGCAATGGCACCAAATAAAAGACCCAAAATAATCCCACACACCTATGAATACTTGATTTTTGACAAAGAAGCCAAAACCATTCAATGGAAAAAAGACAGAATCTTCAACAAATGGTGCTGGTCCAGCTGGATTTCTACATGCAGAAAAATGAAAATAGATCCATATTTATCACCCTACATAAAACTAAAGAACAAGTGGATCAAAGACCTCAATATAAAACCAGATCCTCTAAATCGGTTAGAAGAAAAAGTGGGGAAGACCCTAGAACTCATTGGCACAGGAGACAACTTCCTGAACAGAACACCATCAGCACAGGCCCTAAGAGCAACAATCAATAAATGGGACCTCATGAAACTGAAAAACTTCTGTAAAGCAAAAGACACTGTCAGAACAAAACAACAACCTACAGATTAGGAAAGGATCTTCACCAACCCAACATCTGACAGAGGGCTGATATCTGGAATATATAAAGAACTAAAGAAGTAAAAGGCAATAATTCAAGTAACCCAGTTAAAAAATGGGGTATGGAGCTAAACAGAGAATTCTCTGTAGAAGAATATAGAATGGCAGAGAAACACATAAGGAGATGTTCAACATCCCTAGCCATCAGAGAGATGCAAATCAAAACAACCCTGAGATTTCACCTTACACCCATCAGAATGGCTAAGATCAAAACCTCAAGAGATAACGCATGCTGGAGATGCTGTGGAAAAAAGGGAACCCTCCTCCATTGCTGGTGGGAATGTCAACTGGTACAACCACCATGGAAATCAATCTGGCGCTTTCTCAGACAATTAGAAATATTGCTACCTCAAGATCCAGCTATGCCACTCCTAGGCATATATGCAAAAGATGTTCAAGTGCACAACAAGGACATTTGCTCAACCATGTTTGTAGCAGCTTTATTCGTAATAGCTAGAACCTGGAAACAAACCAGATGTCCATCAATGGAGGAATGGATACAGAAATTGTGGTACTTTTACACAATGGAATACTACTCAGCAATTAAAAACAAGAAAATCATGAATTTTGCAGGCAAATGGGGGAATCTAGAAAAAATCATCCTGAGTGAGGTATCCCAAAAGCAGAAAGACACACATGGTATATCCTCACTTATATAGACCTATAAGATAGGAAAAACATACTAAAATATGTACACCTAAAGAAGATAAACAAGAGGTCCAAGGGTAAGATGATCAATCCTCATCTAGAAAGACAAAGGGGATGGACACTGAAAAAAAAGCAAGTAACAGGACAGTAGCCTACCACAGAAGGCACCTGAAAGATTCTACCTAGCAGTGTATCAAAGCAGATGATGAGACCCATAACCAAATCTTTGGCAGAGTGTAGGGAATCATATGAAGGAAGGAGGAATTAGTATATCCTAGAGGGGACAGAGAGCCCCACAAGGTCCAAATATATCTGAGCACAGGGGTCTTCTATGAGACTGCTTATCAAACCAAAGACCATGCATGGATATAACCTACAACCCCTGCTCAGACATAGCCCATGGTAGCTCAGTATCCAAGTGGGTTCCCTAGTAAGGGGGACAGGAATTGTTTCTGACATGAACTCATGAGCTTCCCCTCCCCCCTGATGGAGGAGCAACCTTACTAGACCACAGATAAGGGCATTGCAACCATCCAGAAGATACCTGATAAGCTAGGGCCAGATGGAAGGAGAGGAGGACACCCTCTCTCAGTGGACTCAGAAGGGGGCAGGGAGGAGATGAAGGAGGGAGGGGAGGATTGGGAAAGAAAGAGGGAGAGGGCTACAGCTGGGATACAAGTGAATGTATAAAATTATTTAAAAGTTTAAAAAAATTTAAAAGAAGGAAAAAAAGAAATTGTGGTACATTTACACAATGGAATACTACTCAGCAATAAAAACTAGGATATCATGAAATTTGTTAGGAAAATAGTGAGAACTAGAAAAGATCATTCTGAGTAAGTTATCGCAGAAGGAGAAAGATACACATAGTATATACTCACTTATAAGTGGATATTAGACATAATATATAGGATAAACATACTAAAATCTGTACACCTAAAGAAGCTAAGCAAGAAGGATGACCCTGGGTATGATGCTCAATCCTCATTCAGAAATGCAAATGGGACAGACACTGGAAGAGGGAGAAAACAGGGAACAGGTAAGAATCCTTTCACACAGTGCCTCTGAAAGACTCATTTCACTATTCTTAATTCTACTATCTTATAGCCCTATGTCAGGTACTACTTTTCATTCATAAGCTATAATGGGACTTATTTCAACTTTCTGAAAATTATGATCCATGTTGCCAGGAACATTCAGATACATTTTACTTCTCTTTTGCTATGGTTCTACATCCATAAATGGAGCTGCATAGTCATACTGAAATCTCTGACTGATTTGTGACAAAAGACTCTCACATTTCATGTTTCTACTATTGACTGCTCATCCACTTTATATTCTGCCTGAAACCACTCTTATGAGAAGAGTGGATTATGCTTGTGGCCCTCAATATGCAAGTATAAACAGATAACACATGTAATATCACCAAACTAAAAGGTGACATAAATGGAAACATCAAAGGAACTTGGTTATATGCAGTATTGAAAATGTCTGGTGCATATTTAATTGAATGTGCACTAGTGTCAATTTGACTTCCAAACTTCACTCTTTCATAAAAAGAATTGAAATGATGTCAGTAAATACTTCATATATCCCTAGACACAGTATTTTCTCTCATATTCCAGATAAGAGAAACACCAAAAATTAACATAGAAAATCTTCAGGTATATTACCAAAGGACAAGAAAATATTGAGAGAACAACACAAGATGATCTTCTGCTTCACATCTATGGAAATGCTTTTCCAGGTAAAGAGTAAAGTCACAGAACCCAGAAGTTTATACA